AGTCATAGTCATAGTCATCAACCTAACCTCACTGAACTATGAATCGCAGTTATATTTATATTTCAACATTATTGTGCCAATCAATGTGTAAATAGGCGAGTCAAAAACATGTTTATTTTCATTTTTTTTGGCGCATTTTGTTTCGCGCTGTGTGTTTATTCGATTTTCGATTGGTTGATTTCGAAATTGTGAAATTTTCTTAAAATTCGGGTAAAAACAAACAAAAAATGGTCATGGATGTTGATAATAATTCAACTAAATCAATGGATTGTGCTGTTCGAATCAATGGTGCATTGATGAATAATTATCAAAATTGTTTGGCAATTTTGATTGGTTTTGTTCAACGGGTATGTATTTGTTTGATGTTTATCAAAAAAAATATTCAACGTTTGTCATTTTTTTCTCATTATTGAAATGAAGCTTGAAGGTGAAAATAAACGAATTGTAATTAAAACTACTGACAATGTTTACGTGCAGGTTATGCTGACACAACCGGTAAATGGAAATTCAAATGAATTTTTTTCCTTTATCAAAAAAAATTGATTTTGTTTTTGTTTTCTCTCGTTTTAGTTAAGTTTTATACTTGAACCCGATCAATTGATCGAAGCTTTCGGTATTGTACGTGGTGGTAGTAAATTTGAATGTAAATCATTTGCACATTTTGGTCGTGAAGAATCAAAAGAATTTGATTGTGAATCATATAATCATTTGATACAGCTATGTATTACACATCAACAACGATATTGTATCGATAAAACGGATGCTGATGAACAACAATCCGAATTAGTATTTCAAACGGTTGATAATGATTTTGATATTATCAATATTAATGAACAACAACAATCTTTTAATGATAATGGTTTTCAACATTGATTTTGTTTGAAAAAATTTTGAATTTTAAAATTTGTAAAAATAAAAAAAATTTTTGTTGAAAAAATTGATTCGATTCGATTTGATTCGAATCGGAATGCGCAATAGCAATTCGAATTTTCTTTTTTGGAATTTGAACCCCAGCGTTCGAATGTTTGATAAAAGATAATTGAAATAAAAATCGATCAATCAATCAATCGATTTGATTTGATCCGTGTGTGTATTCATATGACATAAATGTATCGATTTTTTTCTACTTCTGTTGTTGTTGCTCTGTATTAGAATGGAAATTTTTGAAGATAAATTTGATTACAAAAAATTTTTAGTTCGGTAGCATTTCGGTTCATTCATTGTTTATGATTATGATTCAAGTGATAATCAATGCAATCAACATCCGTTTTTTTCTTTTCTCATCGAAAAAAAGGTAAAAATCCATGATAATGATGATGAATTTAATATTTTTTTCTTTTTGTTTACAAATATAGAGCAAGAGAGAAAAATAAGATATTTAAAACACTGCTACCAATAATGATGATGATGATAAAATCATTATCATCATCAAAATGAAGACAAAAATAAAAGAAATGATCGCGAATATATAACATTGACATTGAATTTATTTGAGAAAAAATGGTTGACAAAACATTGATTAAAATCATCATCATCATTAACTAAATAATGATCAAACCATCCAACCAACCACCACCACCACTATTATTATCAGCAATTTTTGTCGTCAGAAAATATCATCATCATCATCGTTTGTAAAATTGAAAATCATTTTTATTTCTTTTTCATTACGATGATTTGAATCAAAGTTGTTTTTCTATGTAATGTGTTGCTGCTTGTTTTTGTCCGAAGATTTTCAATGTAAAAATTATTATTGTTTTGGATGATTTTTTTTGTTGTTGTTTTTGGTCAAATCAAATCGCAAAAGAAGAAAAAAAATCGTCCACAACAACAACCAAAGAAAAAACTGGAAAGCCAAAAGCTGAAAACTCCTTGAAAACAAAAAAAACAATGATGATTATAAATCCACCGGTTGTTCGTTATCCATCATATTATAATTGTAAAAAATCAACATTAGTTACAATTATATCTATTGATCTAATGTTAATTATGGTTACAATTATTATTATTATTATTGCCGATAGACAAATACCTAAATTATCAATTGATCAATCATCATCATCATCATTATTATCATCATCATCACCATTAAATCATTTTGATCATATCGACGATCTCAATCATTTTGATATGAATAATAATAGTCATTTGTATCATCGAAATAATAATGATCATAATCATCATAGAATTTTGGAACAAAATCATTCGATAACAACAATCGATATATCGAATGATGATAATAATAATAATGATAGCATTTCCGATTGTTCGAATGATGACAATGATGATGTCAACGATGATGAACAACAACAGCTATATGATGGTGATGGAATTGGTTCATCATTAACGGATAAAAAGGTAATCTTCTTTTTTTTGTTGATTTTTTCTAATGTAACATTTTTCCATGATAATTTAGTTTGCATTAGCCGAATTAATAGCCAATATTATATGGTTATTAGCCGGTATGTTGAGTTTGGTTGCCGTTATTAAAGAACATTATCATTTGACCATTATTTGTTCATTGTTTGGTGCATTCGATGTTTTATCTGCATTTTATTTTTGGACCAAAACAAAATCTGAAGATAATTTTCTACAAATGATTTCCAGTGCAATTTATTTTATATTTTTATTATTATTTCTTAGTGATCTTGCCTATATCAATAAACAGCGTTTACGAATAGCAAGAAATCGTTATCGTCCACCAAAATTAATTTATCATATCTAAAAAGACAAAGACAAAATCATTGATAATTATCGAATCAATGAATGAATGAATGGTATGTCATTGTGTCAACAACAACAACCAAACAACAAAAGACTATTTCGTGGAACGAACAAAAAGACTTGATTGATAAACGAAATAATTTTTTTGCAATGTTCAATTCAAATTAATATTGCATTCGATTTTCGAATCAATCAAATCACCAGCATCGTCATCAGCATAATTTAATATTTTGAAATTGAAATAATTGAATAAATTACGTACATTAAGAATCGAACAAAGTTTTGTTGTTGTTGTTTTAATTCAATGTTTTCATTAATTTTTTTCTTGGTTTAAATTCTGAAAATTTTTTAAAAAATTACAAACACACAGAGTCAAAATGTTGTTGATGGAATTTATAAATAAACATTGTTCATTATTTATATGGAAATTATTATCAATATTAATGATATTTTTAAATTTATTGGTGATATTTCCACATGAATCACTACCACCAAATGGTAATCTATTTCATCTGATCATTTTATTTATTGGTGCCCATTTTTTGGGTTTATTATCCGAACGTATTGGTTTACCACCATTATTTGGTATGTTGGTTGCTGGTTTTTTATATGGTAATTTTAATGATCGGGTAGAATTGGATACAAAATTATCATCAACCATTCGTTCATTAGCATTGATTATTATTTTATTACGTGCTGGTTTAAATTTGGATCCAAAAGCTATACGTCGTTTATCAATAATTTTGGCTAGATTATCATTAATACCATCAATTATTGAATCATTAATCATAGGATTACTTACATGGATTTGTTTTAGTTTTAATCTAAGTTGGTCATTAATTATTGGTTTTGTTATTGGTTCAGTATCACCGGCTGTTGTTGTCCCCAGTATGGTTGATGTACAGGAAAAAAATTATGGTACCAAACGTGGTATACCAACATTATTGATTGCATCAACTTCGGTGGATAATGTTTTTGCTATAACAGCCATAAGTGTTTGTCTTAGTTTTGCTTTTCCCAATTCAAATGAAGAACGTGATAGTGATCATTTAGTACAAACGGTATTGACAATATCACGTGGTCCTTTGGAAGCAATTACCGGTATTATTTATGGTATTATTATTGGTATAATATTATGGTATATACCGGCACATCATGATAGTCGATTGATAAAAAATTCTTCTTCAAGAACAGCAAATCACAAAAATAAAAAAAATCACTATGAAATTCATCGATTTGTTTTACTTGCAACAACATCATTATTCATTTGGTTTGGTTCACAAAAAGGAAATTTTAAATCAATGGGACCAATTGCCATTTTAACTGCACCATTTATTGCATCAATTCGTTGGCGTGAAAATAATTTGGGTAAATTTAGTCGTGAATCATTGCGAATATTATGGTTGATATTTGAAAATTTCTTATTCAGTTTAATTGGTTTTAATGTTCGTCTAAGACAATTGGATATTTCGATATTATTAAGCGGTATCCTAATCATCGTGTTTGCCGTTATTGTTCGTATGATTGTTGCTTTCGCAGTTACATTTGGTGGTCAATTTGATCGAAATGAACGTTTATTTATGGCCATAGCATGGCTGCCGAAAGCAACAATTCAAGCAGCAATGGCACCAATCGCTATGGATTTAGCTCAAAATACCGAAGATAAACGTCGAGCACAAATAGTTTTGACATTAGCCGCTTTATCAATTCTATTGACAGCACCTATCGGTGCAATTTTGATGAATTTAACATATAAAAAATTACTTCAAAATGATTCAAATGATATTATTTTGTATGATACTCAAGCATTATCACCAAATTCTCAACAACAACGACAAACAGATCTGGAAAATCAACAACAGCAACAACAATCATCAACAAACAGCAGCAGCAACAACAACAACAAGGTGAACATACCATTATTATTAAATGATAAACCAATTCAGTCTTACAATACTTGATGAATTACAAAATTTTTTAAAGAAAAATAAAAATTATTAAAAAAAATTTAAAATTAAAATTTTTTCAAAAAAAACGTTCTTTATGAACAATACCATTCGAATGTCAATAAAATGTTCGAAAGGTAGTAGTAAACAGAATAATTGATGAAGACCGAAAAAAATCACTACCACTACCACTATCATGTGGCTTTTTTTCAACGTTTGAAAATGTTCGATTCGAAGATTTCTGAAAGTTGAGAAAATTTCAAAAAAAACAAAACAAATGAAACAAATTTAACTTTTACATTCCCGATTCTATCGCCGAATTGACGAAAATCCATATTTTTGTTGTTGTTATGTGCATGAATTTTATTGTATTATTATAATCATTGTTAACCCTACCACCACCATCAATGAAAACTAAAACCAAATCCAAACGACGATCATCATTATCATCGTCATCGACATCGACGTCTAAGATGAAAAATGGTCGTCTTTTTTGGCAACAAAAAAATCAATCAAACATATCGTTAAAACAGCTGGATGAAACAACACAAAATGGCCATATTCCAATTGATAAAAATCAATTACGAAATTGGGGTCTATCCGAACCAATCATACAATATTATGCCCGTAAAGGTATTAGCCGATTTTTTGATTGGCAAATCGATTGTCTTCAACTACCAGGTGTATTGGAACAACAAAAAAACCTTGTATATTCTGCACCAACAAGTGCCGGTAAAACAATGGTTAGCGATATTTTATTATTCAAAACTTTGTTGGATCGACGAAAAAAAGCCATAATCATATTACCATTTGTATCGATATCAATGGAAAAAGTACAGAATCTAAAACAAGTATTTCGTCGTCTTGGATTACGAATCGATTCATTTGCTGGCCAAACAAATCCACGTGGTGGTCTGAAACGTGTTGATGCTGCTGTTTGTACTATAGAAAAAGCCAATAATATGATTAATCGATTGATTGAAGAAAGAACAATCTCAGATATTGGTTTAATTATTGTTGATGAATTGCATATGATTGGTGATCAATCAAGAGGTTATATTTTAGAATTATTACTGTCCAAATTGATGCATATGAAATCGAATCCATTGGCCTGTAATGCTGATGATAATATTGATCTTCATCAACTGCAAATTGTTGGAATGTCAGCAACGATACCAAATTTGAATGATATTGCAAAATGGTTAAATGCAGAATTATTTATCACCGATTATCGTCCAGTTCCATTGGATGAACATGTAGTTGTTGGTAATGAAATTCTTAAAATTTCATCAAATCAAAATCAAAATCTGGCTGACACTCAATTCAATTCATGTGCATCGACAGCCATTGCGAGTCTTGGTGGTAATAATCGTCAAGAAGTTGAATGTCAACCATTGAAAACAATCGATTTGAATCAATTAAAATTATCAACAACAACAATGTCACATTCACTAATCTATTTGGCAATTGAAACATTAGCACAAGGTTTTTCTACGTTAATATTTTGTCCAACACGTTCAATGTGTGAATCAATGGCTAAAACAATTGCAGCAAATATATTTAATATTGGACAAAAAGAAAGAATTCCGCAAAATGATTTTGAAAGTTTTATTCGTGAACGTATTCATTCGGATCAAATTCTTTCATATAAACGTTTAGTTTCATTAATTGAAACATTAAAACGATCCACATCATCATCATCATCAGGTGGTTTTGATCCAAATCTGGAACGTGTTCTGAGATTTGGTTGTGCATTTCATCATGCTGGCATGACAATGGAAGAACGTGGAACGGTTGAACAAGGTTTTCGTGATGGAACACTAAGAATACTTTGTTGTACAACAACATTATCAGCTGGTGTTAATTTACCAGCCCGTCGTGTAATGATAACATCACCGTTTGATTATGCAAACAACCTGTTACCTGTTGGTAATTATCGTCAAATGATTGGTCGTGCTGGACGTAAAGGTATCGATATATTAGGCGAAAGTTTTCTATTTTGTTCGGATAAAGATATACGTTTAGCACGTCGTCTTTTATCCGCTGAAATTCTACCAATTAAATCAAATCTTGTTACTGTGAAGAAATCCAATAATAATAATAAAACGAATACATCATGTTCGACATCATCTACTAATAGTGATCAAAATATTACGAAAAAATCGCAATGGCAACCAATCATAAATGATCAACTTTTACGTGCCGTATTGGAAGTTATTGCAAATGAAATGGTTAAAAATATTAGTGATATTAGTGGTTATCTTGGCTGTACTTTTTTCCGAAATTGTCCATTGAATTTATTTGGATCTCAACAACAACAACAATCACAAACAGAAGAAAATGAAGAAATAATCAATGAATCAATACGATTGGTATTGGATCGATTGAAACAATTTGAATTTATTTATATTGAATCACCGGATAATGGTGATTCAAGAATTGTTTGTACTGATCTTGGACGTGCTGTAATTAGTTCAGGTGTTTCACCTACAGATGGTCAATTTATTTATGAAGAACTGAAACGTTTTCGAACGAAATTATCATTATTAACTGATTTACATCTGGTTTATCAAACAACACCTGTTTATATTGTTAACCAATTGCCTGATATTGATTGGCGTCATTATTTAAATCTTTATGAACGTTGGGATAAAAATACAAAATTCATTTCACAAATGATTGGTATAAGTGAACATTTTCTTTGTATACAAGTATCAATGTCTGGTTTGATGAAGCAAACAACATCGAATGAATCATTAATTCATCGTCGATTTTATGCAAGTCTAGCTTTATTTGATTTGATTGAAGAAATACCAATGTGGAAAGTACAACAAAAATATAATCTTGATAAAGGAACTCTGCAATCTTTACAACAACAAGCATCAACATTTGCTGGAATGTTATCAACATTTTGTCAACGTTTAAATTGGAAAACATTGGCCAAATTATTTGATGAATTTCAACCACGTCTTTCATTTGGTGTTCAATTAGATCTTATCGATTTGGTACGACTTCCATGTGTAAATTCAATGATTGCTCGACAATTATTCAATAAAGGTTATGAAGATATATCATCATTGATTAATTTAAAACCAAAAGATATTGAATTAGCACTGATAACATCTAAAGATTTAATACCAGATGATAGCAGTAATGTTGATCCAAATGAAGTTAAAATTTTTCTTTCAACATTAGATCAAACAATAACGATTACTGAATTATCAAAAATGATTATTAAAGAAGCAAGGATGTTGACTGAAAAAGAAATTGGTCAGAAAATTTCATTTGAAGATGAAATTGAAAGTGGTTCGACAGTTAATTCACCGGTTAATTTAGTTGTTGATCAACAACCTGAACAACCAGAAGAGCAAGAAGAAGAGCCAGCATTATCAACCGAACCATCAAAAATGGAAAGATCAAATGAATCGATAGATAATTCGATCGAATCAACCAACAGTAATAAACGAATCAAAACTGATATTGATTTATCATCGATTAATCACCATCATGATGATAATGATTATATGATTAAAGAAGTACCCATTATTCAAGAAGGTTAGATTCTTGGCAAAAAAATATTAATTTTCTCATTTAATCAAGTTTTTTTTGTTTTTGTTTTTTCGAAAATAAATTTTCTTAATTTTTATCCTTTTTGTTGTTGTTGTTTCATTTTTGCTGTAGATTCAAATTCCGATTCAAAATCATCGATAATTTCTTCATCGACACCGAATGTTACCAAACAAATTCAATCAACATCATCGACAAAACCAACGGAAACATCGATATTATTCGATGATGATGATGATGATTTTTTATTGGAAGAATTATCATTAATTTTGACGAAAAAAGAATCGGAAAAAATTTCTGAAACAATTCCTCAGCCATCATCATCAAAATCATTATCAATGTCAACAATGTCGATAGATGCTGATTTAGAAATTTTGGAAATGTTAGAACAGGAAGAGGATACGAAGCAGCAAGAAAAAGATTCAAAGCAGCCGAAGCAAGAAGAAAAAGAATCACATTCATCAGAAACGGTACGAAACGAAAGGATTACGGCTTCAAATGATAATAATGATGATGAAATATGGCTGGACGATAAAGATGATATTAGTTTTGATGATGATGATTCAACTGAAGAAACATCACCAATGAATTCACCAGCATCATCAGTTGATAGTAAAGAAGATATGGATAAATTTCTTCAATCATTATCCAACAATGATGATGATGATCATAATGAAATAATCCATAATCTACCATCGTTACATGAATCCAATGTTACGGTTGATAATTTTGAATTGATTAAAATTGATAATCGTGAATTATGTAGGGATTTTCTTGCGCAAATTTTTCCCGAAACTGATCAAAATATAGTGGCATTATATTTTCGTTTAGAACGACGAAAAGATTCAAGTGAACATCATCGACGAACAATGATTGTTTTGAAACCAGGTGATCGAAAATTATCAACACAACAACCACCATCAACTGAATCACCTGATGAACCCGTAGGTCTTCGATTAAAAAATTCACCAGATCTTTATCTAATCAGTTTATATGTAACCAAATTGAATCAAACACAAATTTTCCATATTGATAGCCAAGAAGCATTGAAATTTTTACAACAAAATTGGTTTAAACATTTACAACAAAAATCTTCAACAAGACGCTCCATACATTTTTTATGTCATGATGTTAAACAATGTTGTCGATGTTTGAATGAAGTATTCAATTTTGAATGGAAATTTTTAATAAATCATTTAGAATGGTATGATGTTACAATTGCACAATGGTTATTAGATCCAGAATCATCACCACCATATAATATTGATTCTATTCGAATAAAAGATTTACCCGTTTTGGCTCGAACAAATCAGTTATCGGATATCGACTATTTCGACAACGTTAGTAATTATTATCGTCGAAAAATTTTATTAAATTCGAATCCTCATCGTTATCGTTCGAAAGATTCCAGCATTCAAGATTTAGATATTATTCTGAAAATTTTAATTCTTTTCAATTTAATTGATGGTTTATTGTTGCGGTTACGTGAAGAAAATCTTCTGAAAAGTTATTTTCGAATTGAAATTCCTTCAAGAATTTGTATAACGATGATGGAATCAAATCCAACCAAAATTGATCGAAAATATCTGAATGAATTAGAAGATACAATTCAGGATTTAATTTCACGAATTGAACAAAAAATCGTTGCAAAAATTGGTCGTTCAATCAATCTGAATAGTCCAGATCAAGTTGGAAAAGTATTATATTCACAAGAAATGGGTTTAATATCATCATATTTTAATGTGACTACCAATACTACTGCTGCAAGTCCTAGTCCACGTTCAAAATCAAAACGTTTATCATCATTACTGCCGAAAATAACGCCTGTAACACGGAAACCAAGTACAAGTAAAATAGCATTAATGCGTCTACAAGAATCTGTTGGTAATCGTTCAAATCTACCAACAATGATCATAGAATGGCGTCATTTAAATCATGCCTTGACTAATTCGATAATGGCAATTAATCGTCATTGGTATTATCGTCGAGATGACGATCCTGATGATTCATTAATTTATAAACAGTGTTGTGAATGGACTGCAACTGGTCGTATTACAATGTTGGATCCAAATCTTATCAATTTGGATAATGATTTTGAAATTAAAACACATTTAAATGATGCGACTATTTTTACTCCTACTACTTCTACAGGTGATAATAATACCCGATCAACAAAAATTCATATAAGAAAAATTGTTCAATCCCCAGATAATTATCAATTAATAACAGCTGATTATTGTCAATTAGAATTGCGTATTTTGGCACATTTTTCTAAAGATAAAAATCTTTTAAATGTATTGAATAATTTGGCTGTAGATGTATTTAAATCGATTGCCGCCGATTGGAAACAAATTCCAATCGAACAAGTTGATTATGAAACACGGCAACAAGCTAAACAAATTTGTTATGGTATCGTTTATGGTATGGGTGATGAATCATTAGCACAAAAATTGGATATTACATCGAATGAAGCTGGTGAATATAAACAATCATTTTTCGAACGTTATAATCGTTTACAAGAATTTATTAATAAAACTATTGATAATTGTCGTCAAAATTTATTTGTTGAAACTATTGCTGGTCGTCGTCGACAATTACCACTGATTCGTTCACCAAAATTAGATGAATCATCACGTGCCAGTCGACAAGCAGTAAATACAAAAATTCAAGGATCAGCAGCTGATATTATTAAAATGGCAATGATTTCTGTACAGAAACAAATTGTTGAACGAAAATTTGATGCATGTTTTGTATTACAAATGTATGATGAACTGATGTATCAGGTACGAATTGATCAATGTGAAGAATTTGGTTTATTTTTAAAACAACAAATGGAAATGGTTGGTGATTGTTTACGTGTTGTATTGCCAGTAAAATTATCTATGGGACGAAATTGGTCAGAAATGGATCCATTTTTGTGATTATTATTATTATTTTAAAATCAAACAACGAAAAAAATCAATTTGCATGTTTTTGTTTACAAATTTAATTTTTCCATTTTTTTCATGAATTCTAATTATTCAAGTTTTTACAAAAATTTGATTCTATTTCTTATTTGATATGTGAATGCGAATGAATTATTTTATTTTAATTTTAATTAAATTGAATTAAAAAAAGTTTATAAAAATAAATAAATATTTTTTGATTTTGAATAAAAAAAATTGAATGAAAAGTTTGTGTGTGTTTTGCTTTGATCAAATCAAAATCGATTTAGTTTTTTAGAAAAAAATGTCTTCGTCAAATAATGATAATCAACAACAACAACAACGACGACGAGAAAGAATGAAAAGAAATGATCGACGAAGAAGACGATTACCATTATGGATGGATATATTGGATGATGAAATTCTGAATCGTACAATATTCGAGGATGATAATGATGATGATGATGATGATGATGACAATGATAATGTTGAATATGATTGGACAACAATACAACGACCATTTCCGAAAGGAGCAAAAACAAATGCAGCTGCCATAATTGGAGCAAAAACAATGATCAATGACCCGTTGGATCATTCAAAAGTGAATGATATGATTATTGATCATGATAATGATGATAATAATCCAAATATTAATCAAAATCCAAATATATTGGGAAATGATAATACAATTCGTGAAATTATGTTCAAATGGATGATTGATGAAATATTAGAACCACCAACGCCATCAATAATTGGTCGTCGAATGCCAACAAATTTACCACAAATTGCAATCGAATTGTTTACAAAAACAACAACAACAAAAATTCAATCACCACCAATTCCATCGGTAAAATCACCGTCATCACCACCGATATCACCGCCGCCTTATCAACAACAAAAACAACAGCAACGACAACCATCATCATCATCATCATCATCGATTATTCCAATACAACCAGCATTGAATCGTTCATCATCAACATCATTATCGAAAATAAATCCAATAAAATTACCGGAATATTCTAGGCAACAATGTGATCGTTTTGCTGAACAATTTCGTCAATCAAGTAATCATTTACGTAAACATATTGAACAAATATTTCAAAATTATCGTCAAAAACAATTGGAACAGGAGAAAAAATTTGAAGATAAATTAAATTGTTTACAGGAACGATATTCAAAACATCAAAATCAACAACATAATCGTCAACCAAATTCAAATCCAAATAATGATAATGATGATAATTAAAACATTTTGATTGAAAAAAAAAATGATGAAATGTTTGCCAGCGTTCGATTGATGATTAATAATTATAATTAAAAATTGAAAGTTAATTGAAGATTTCCATCGATGAAAAATTGTTTTAAAAAAATCAGGTGGGTGGATTCCAGACACCAACAACGAAAAATGAAAAATGACATTCATCATAGCCGAATGATTGAGATAATTAAATGTTCTTCGTTTGTTTTGTTCTCGTTTTTCTTCGTTATTTTATTTTTTTTGTCGGTCAATAGTGATTTAATTATTGGGTTTATCCAATCAATCAATCAATCAACCAGAATCATCGATTTTGCAATCAAATTCTTTGACAGTGTTTTGTTTTCCAGCTTATATAAAATGATGATAATCCGCATGTCATTCAATTCAATTCGAAATTTCTTTTTTGCAAAAATCAAACATTGAAAAAAAATGAAATTCATAACTATCGTGGCAATCGTAATATCAGCATTGATTCAAAATGGTTGGTCATGTCGTACGATTGAAGAGCTGGATGAATGTGCTTATTCATTTGATATTCTAACAAATACGGGGATTCCGATACCAAAAAATGATCAAGAAGTACAGGATTTATGCGAGTAAGTTTTTCTTTTTTAAAAATTCAAATTGATTGAAATAAATTTCTTCGATCATTAGCAAAACACAATCAGGTCTGAAATGTTTAAGTGATGATGCAAAAGAATGTGCTAAAGGTTCGGTTAAAGCTGTATTGGTTAAAGTTATCACTGATTTGGCTAATGGTATTAATCAAAGATGTGCCGATTCAGGTGAACGTGCTGAATTTGCTAAACATGTTCAATGTTTTCATGATGAATCGAAGGCGGCACCGATTCGTAATTGTGTCAATAGACATATTGTTATGATGGAACGTGTATCGAATTTGGATAAACCATTACGTTTAGGTGGTGCTTGTTGTGGTTCACATTATTATCGTAAATGTTTAATCGATTCAATACAACAAAGTTGTGGTGGTGATTCAGCTGATTATTTTAATGAAGTGATTGATGCTGCTATCGGTCAAAATATGGAATTAATGTGTAAAGATTTATCCGATACGGATAAATGCGAAGCTAAATATGATTCAACAACATTAACAGAATTGAAAACAATAATGGAATCAAGTGAACCAATTCAATCAAATCAATATAAAACATTGATTCCAATTATTGTTAAAATGCTTAGAGAAGCTTGAGAATAACTATCAAAACAAAAAGTATCGATTAGTAGATCGATAATGATTAAATTTCAAAAATAAATAAAAATTTTGATTACCTGTGTTTATAGGCTGAAAATATCAAGCGGGATTTAAACAAAATTACTATGGTTACCCTTTTTCCAATTTTGAAATTGAAATGATTTTCTTTTTTGAAATTAAAAGTACAAGTGTAATTATTTTTTAGTTCATAAGGCGGAAAATCTGTTTGTCGAAATTCTCATTTTTTCCTTGGAATTTTTTCCAGCCAAATGTTGCCATACATATGAAATTCTTTCTTATGACAAAAAACCATGATTGAATTGGCTGTTTTTTGGGTCGGTCGAATCGATATATTCAAAAAATGGGGAAAAAAATGAAATTTTTTCATTTTTGTTCTTTTATTTTTTTCTGATACCAAACCAAAAAATGAATTAAACAATCAATAATCATATCATGATGATGATTCTAGAATCTAGATCAAGAAAAAAATTGATTTATTTTTTGTAAAAATATTTTTTTTTTAACAAAGCCAAACTTGCCTTGAACTTGAACGAAAGGGAAAAGAATATTTCCGTGAAGGGAAAAAGAAAAAGAAAACTATTTTGATTCATATTTCACCTGGTATATTCATTTTGATATTTGTTCGAATGAATCAAAAAATGAATCAAATAAAAACAATGGATAATATTCGAAATGTTTTGCTAAAAGCATTATCATCAAAACGATTATCACACTATCCAATGACAACAACGACGACAACATCGGCAACAACAACAATAATCAACGAAAATGATCATCAAGATTTATCATCACCATCAAATTGGATATCAAATTGGTTCAATTTGAATCAACAAAATAATTTATTAATTCGAATATTAAATTATCCATTTCGAATGTCTATTGTTCCACTATTTCCACCTTGTATTGTTAATCGAATAACACGAATGAAAATAGAAATGTTAATAGAAAATGATAACAACCAAAACAATCCAAATAACGATAATAATAATAATTTTCGTCGATTTTTTAATTTTAATTCTCTGTTTATATTCACTTTGTTTCCGATTGCATTTATTCGTGCTGTTTTTATGTGTTTATTTCGTTATGATCATCATATTGTAACAACAATAACCGGTTCAGTTTTTCATTTGCTTCATATTAATCGTTTACATCCTGAAATGGTTGCATTACATTTTGGTGCTGAACAATGTCTTTATCTTTTATGGATATTCAGTCGTTTAAAATATTATCATTTTTTTCGTTTATTAATTGCATATTGTCATCAAATTTATGATCCATTTTTAAATATCGTTGATAATAAAAAACAAAGATTACAATTATATTTGGATTATTGTCATCAACAACAATCACGACAACAACAACAACAAAAACCATCATTGGAATCAAATTCAAATTTTGCTCATTGTTTGGGATTGAATTCTCGGTCGATTGATCGAATTAGTCAACAAATTCGGCAACAATTTCGTATGCAAACATTTGTATTAATTTCCGTACCGATTATATTGTTCTTGATGTCAACAATGTTTCTCTTCAGTATTGATCCATATCAAAATAATTTCTGGCTTTTTAATTATTCATATCTATGGTATTCATTTTATAATTTTAATCTGGCATTTTTCACTTCGGTTTGGGCTTATTATGGCCTTCTGTATACAACAAATTTTTTTGCCTATTTTCACTTAAATTGTTTGATATTGATTAAAAAATTAGGTACAAATCAACAATTTCTGAAACGATTTCGTAAATCACGACAATCAAGGTCTGTATACAAGGAAGAACGGAATGATCATTAAAAAACTAATCAATATTTTTGACAGAAAATCAATGATCGTTATAATACCATTTCGACGTCATTTTTATCATCAATCACGTCTTTTCACCGAAATTCGTATAATCAATAATTTTTGGTCAAAATATTTATCATTTACATTTTTAATGTATATCTCTTTGTTTTGTAATGCATTCTATGTAACAATAATGACCAAAACAATGCTGTCATTGAAAATATTTTTCTTTACATTTTCCATACAATCAATATTTGTTGTCAGTATTCTGACAATGAATGCAGCCAAATTATTTAAACAAAATTATTTCAGCCATAAACAATATTATTCATTATTTGCTCGACATTTTCGACGAATTGATTTGTCGACTAAATTCAAAGTAAGTTTCCAAAGACATTTTTCCTAAATAAAATTAATGATTTTTACTCCTTTGTTCTATTTATTTATGAATATCCTGGATACCTGAAAAGATCATGCAAACATTAGACCTAATCAATAGTCAAATTGTTGGTTTTTCATTAATCAACGATCATGTTATTAAAAATGATACAATTTTGGCCGTTTTATTTCAAACGATAACATTATTTTTTCTTGTTACACGTATGGTTTAAAAACACATCGAAATCTGGATTTTTGAAAAAAAATTTTATTTATTTTTACAACAAAAAAAACTAAATGAGAAGAAAATTGGTTCAAAAAATCAAAAATCAAAAAAATTTTGAAAAAAATGCAAGGTGTGTTTTGTTGAAGCAGATAGACGAAAATTGATGTGTAAATGTCATTCATTCATTCATCAATCACATTCACATTTTCCTTTTTTTGATACCCATTCTTGTGCTAATACTTCGGTCATCGATATTCGAATAGAATCATTTGGATGAAATATTAATAAAAACAGATCCTGTGCTGGTCTTGATAATTCTGATGAAAAACGTGATCTAATAAAACCGGGATAATCTAATTGTTCTTTAACCATTTTTTTAACATCTTTAAAATGATATGGAAAACGATTATGTAACATTGCATATAATACAATGCCCATTGCCCAAACATCAGCCTTAAATGGATTATATGGTTTTTTTGATGCTAATTGTGGTGAATAATATGGTAATGTACCACAAAATGTTTGACTAACAACATCATTAATATCGGTTTCATCCATAATTAAATTAACAAAACCAAAATCAGTTAATTTACAATTAAAATTTTTATCCAATAAAATATTATCTAATTTGATATCACGATGTGCCATATGTATTTCAGTATGTAAATAATTAACAGCTTCCGATACTTGTGTAAACCATAAACAAGCTAATGGTTCTTTTAAGCATTTATTTTTTTTAACATATGATGTTAGATCACCATTACCAGCATATTCCATAAATATATAGATACGATGATTCGAACGGATTATATCATAAACACGTATTGCATATGGATGTTTTACTTCCATCAAAGCCGATAATTCACGTGGTAAAAATTTTTCACATACTTTTTTCGACATTGAACCTAAATCTAATACTTTCACAGCACAATCCATTTCATTTTTAAAATTACGTGCCATATATACCTGTATGAAATAAATTAACGAAAAAAGAAGAAAATACTTGATGAACGTCATTAATTAATTAAAAATTTTGTCTCTTACCTGTCCAAATGCACCGCTACCAATTTTATAAAGAATTTCATAACCTTTTTTTAAAAATACAGCTTTTGATTTTGGATCAATATCAATTTCATTATCTTTTTTATCACCATTTGTTACTGTTGCTCCTGTTCCTGTTGCTGTAGTATTTGTAGTCGAAGTAGTGGCCATTTATAAAAGGAATAAGCAAAAGAAAAAAAAACAAACCAATCAATTCCCAATCGAAAAATAATTCCAACCAAATATTTAAATTACAAAAATATCGTCTTTATAACTAATCGAAGAAATCATTGTTGTTGATTTTTTCGTCGAACTTTTTTCTCGAATTATTTCTAAAAAAGAAATTTAAAAAATTAATCCATTATCGAACGAAAACGAAAAAACAACAAAAAAAAAAGAAAAAACATACCCGAAAGCCATAATTTGTTATTGAATTGAGGTGTGTTTCTTATCGTTCAGTTGTCGCTGAAATTGATCATATTTTTAACCATGATTATGATTACCAAGGAGGGAATAACGGATTAACAACAACAACGACGAGAAAGGAAAAAAAGTAGTTCATATTTGTTATTCAGTACACGACGATAATGATGATAATGATAAAGGTAAAGGTGATGAGAAATTAATTGGGACGTCCGAAATAAGTTAAAATTGGATGAAGTAAAATAAATAAAATTAAAAAACAGGATTCCGACATGATGACCAGACTGCTGCTGCTGTTGGATTGATAGTTTTAACATTGACTTTTTTTCCAAAACAAAAATATCAAAGTTTGATAAATAAAATTCAATGACGTTTATAAATAAATAAAAAAATAAACACACATTTTTGGCCTTAGTTTAGTTTTGGTAAATCATCCTGTCCAATAGTTTTTTTAAAAAGAAAAAGTTTCGAAAACAAAAAATTAGTTGACATATGCGTGGTGGTTAAAAAAACTTACCTTAAAACATTTCAAAGATTTTGAAAAGAGTCGCCCTTCATTCATTTCATTCCAAATTTCAATTTGTCATCGTCGTTGTGAAGATTTTCTTGTTTTTTTTTGGCTGCCGAAAGAGATCATCAGAGATAGGAACATACTTGAGGATAATTGCTTGTTCTTCAGTTGTTTTTTGAATTTTCAGGTTTTTTTTCATTTAGCCAAGTTTAAGAAAATTAAATTTTCCAAATAAATGTCCAATTTTACTTAATGGACCACCGATAGCATTTTTTTCAGTTTCAGGATTTTTTAAATATTCTGGTATTCTGGCATAACCCGGTCGAACATTGACAGGTGGATAAAGATGACCTTTAATAAGATCAGCACCTTTTTCACCAATCATAATAATCGGTGCATTTGTATTACCCGATACAATTTTAGGCATAATTGATGCATCAATAACACGTAATCCTTTTACACCATAAACACGTAATTGTGGATCAACAACAGCCATTGGATCATCAGGTGGACCCATTTTAGCCGTACCGACTGGATGATAAATGGTTGCCGAATATGACCGTGTTAAACATTCAAAATATTCATCACTAAACCAACGATATTTTTCACAACCATACCATTTACGTTGCCATGGTCGGACATTAAATTTTTGAAATGGTTTTGATAGGGCCATTTTTAAACTTAATTTTAATGATTCAACTAATACTTTAACATCGTATGGATCTTTGAAATCTGTCAAGTGACAAAACAATCATTATCTGAATTTTTTCAACAAAATTCAAATGTAAAACTTACAATTTGGTTGAATAATAGGTTGATCATATGGATTAGCTGAACGTAATTTCATCCAACCAACTGAACGTGGACGTAACAATACAGGATAATATGCAAATGAATCATCATACAAAAATGGTTCATAAACATGTTGAAATAGTTCATTTTTTAGATTCATTGCTTTACGAACAGATTCACCACCATCAGATGATGGACATGATGGTATAAAATGCAATTCAACATCAGGCCAATCATCACTTGCATTTGCATATTTTGTACTAATAAAACCTAAGCCATCTAATCCACCCAACATTGTTAATGGACCAATACCTAATGTAATCCATTGTGTAAATGATTTTGCAACATACATTCGAGGTTGAACTACGGAAACCGGTGAATCAATATGAAATTGCATACCACCAACACCAATATGATCCTGAAGATTTTCACCAACACCAGGTAAATCCGAAATAACAGGGATACCAAGTTGTTCCAGATCCCAACGTGGTCCAATACCAGATAACATTAATAATTGTGGTGAATTTATAGCACCAGCTGATAGAATAATTTCACGACGTGCATAAACAATATAATCCAAACCTTTTCGATCAAATTTTACAGCAATAGCACGTTTATGTTCATTAAATAATATCCTGGTTACATGTGCATAAATAACTGTATGAAGATTTTCACGTTCACGATAATCTCGGATAAATGCTTTGGCTGTTGAACAACGTGCACCACGACGTACAGTACCTTGTGGTATAGCAAATCCAGTTTGTCTCGGGCCATTTATATCAATGTTTGGAAAACCAAACAATTTACCGGCTTCAAGAAATGCACCACCAATTGCTGTTGTATAATGTGTTGTTGATACTGTTAATGGTCCATTGAAACCTTGTTTGAATGCAGGGAAAAAACAAAACACAAATAGAATAAAACATCAGAAAATCAAAACATTAAGAATTAAAAAAACTAACCATGATAACCATTCTTTAGAATTGCTGGATCACGATTATCTTCCGATTTAATGAAATAATAGAAAACATCATTCCAACCCCAACCATAATTACCCCATTTTTCCCAAAGATCATAATCTTTTGTATTACCACGAACATAAAGCATATAATTAATTGATGAACAACCACCAAGAATTTTTCCACGTGGCCAATTTGAACGATTTTCAATCATTCCTTGACAGGCATATTTTTGCGGTACAGTTTTATATTGCCAATCATATTCGGAAAGTTGTAAACGTGCTGCTAGAACGGGTATTTCTGTTTGATAAACTTCATGACCACCAGCTTCTAATAATAATACTTTTATACGTGGATCTTCGGATAAACGATTTGCAACAACAGGACCAGCTGAACCGGCACCAACTTTGGGAAAATTTGAATAAATTTTGATCCGATTTGCAAATGAATGAAAACTTACCAACAATATAATCATATTCACGTAAAAATTCATCACGAACAAATGGTGTTTCATGACGGATTCGATGTAAATACATAAACATAAATGCAGGCAATAATGCCGGTATTGCTGCATTTAATTTCAAAAGACTAGTTAACATTTTTTTGAAAATATTTAAAACAATTTTTTGGCAAAAAAAAAGATTGAAATGAAAAACTAAAACTAAAAAAAGAAGATCAAAAAAAATCCGAAACGGAATTCACATCATTCGGGACACTTTGTTTATGAACAGAACACCTCAGAAGAAAGAAAAAAATCGAACACGCACGAATTTCGAATGTTTATTTTGTCATTTTTGTTTCTTGAAAACAAAAACCGAAAAAAATTCACGCATCGATGATTGGAACAAGAAAAAAAAACAATGTTTACGAATCACAATGACGATCAGTTCAATGATGACCAGATAAACCGACACATCGATAAACCAAGAAGAAAAAAAACCATAAAAATGATAAAAGAATTTGTGAAACGATGAAGAAAAAATCAAAGATGAAAATGAAAACTTCTCTCCTGATCATCATCTTTATCATTAACGATGATGACCAGTGTCCAATATCTGTTTCTCTTTCGCTTTCTCTATCTTTATGTGTTTGTTTATCTCACTTTCATTTTGGCCATTCATTTTTGGTTAATTCTCTTCGAACAACCCAAATATGTTTCCATAAAAAAAAATTTCTTCATACATTTTTTTCTGGTCCAGATTTTCTGGAAACTTTCTCTCACTATCCGCCTAATTCGACATCTTGCACCATGTTTTTTTTAAGTAAAGTAAGTAATTTTTTTGCTTTTAATTTTCAGTTTCTTTTCTTTTTCTCTAAACGTCAATCATATCATCATCAAGTGAATTTAGTTTTTCAAGTTTTTTTTTTCTCTGAAAAACGGGATTCGCCTGCTGATAATGATGATGATGATGATGATGAGAGGTAAACTAGAAGAAAAATTCCCTTATCAAGATTATGTTGACCAAGATTTTCACCATTACCATCGCCATCACCACCACCACCATTATCTTGTCCAAACTTTAATTCGACCCTGATTATCATCACCATAAATGACATTAGGTTAGTGACTTCCAGATTTTTTTTTGTTTCGTTAAAGAAGAGAAATATAATGGGATAATTTTGGATTTAGATTTGTCTTGTCTAGTTGAAGATGTAACGGTGGTGATGGTGGTGAAAACGAAAAACATGAAATGTGATAACAATTGACAACAACAACAACAATGATGATGATGATTTTAAATGACAACAGCGACAAACAAAAACAGAAAAGATGCTAAAACTAAAAAACAATTTTCACATGCAAACAAACTGTTAACTGTTGTAGGAAAAATTAAAACAAACACTACACAGGTGGCCGGCCAGGTATGTTTTTTTTGTTGTTGTTGTTTTCAATTTTCAATTTTCAAAACGCTAATTGTATTCATTCATTCATTCAGAGAAAAGAAAAATCTTTTCGGTAAAAAGTAAATCTACTTGAATCAATCGTGAGTTTTTTTGTTTTTTCAACAAAAATATCTGATATGTTTGTTTTGATTTTGATTTAATAATAGCCATTTAAATAATATCCAAACAATTGGATGTGAAAATAGACAAAAAACAAAACAAAAAAACAACAACCAGACAATAGCCATATAGATTGAAATAGCCGATTGATATTATCAATTGAACCATGACATATATTTTTTTTATTCATTTTAGAAAAACAAAAAACCCGGATTCGGAAATGTCAAACAAGAAAAAATGTTCCTGTTTTTTGTTTTGTTTTTTCTTATCGAATATGACACAATGAAAAAATTATGCAAATTCAATCAATCAACTGTCAAATTGAATTTTCAATGGAATTTCTTCAAATTTCAATATTTAAAAAAAAATTGACAAGACAAAAACAGAGATAAGAACAGGACAGGACAAGATCAAGTTTTTCATTTCATTAACATAATCTATATGCTAATCTTTTTCTTTTCATTTCATTTCATTCAGATTTTAATCCTGACCTTTAGGCCATTTGAAAACAAAAAAAATCAAGTATTTTTGGTGAAAAAAAAACTTGAGTTTAAAAAAATTCCATAAAATTAAATTGAAACTTATGTATAGGAAAAAAAATTTATCCCGAAATCGATAATCATCATCATCATTATAAAAAAATCCCCTCCATCCTTGTTTGATCATTGTTAAATGAATGAAATTTATTTTTAAATTCATTTCATCGAAATAATGACGATGATGATGATGATAATTACACTAGACATACTTTTCGGGTGTTGATGAAAGAAAAAGTTTTTTTTTCTAATTTTTTGTTTTTCGATTTTCACCGAATCTCGGTCAATAGTACAATGATGATGATCATCATCATCGTTATTATCCCTGTTATAATAAACCATCGAACTTGATTATTATGATGGACAATTATAAAACAGAAGAAAAATCTTGACCATAACAAAAACTTATTGATTTTCTTTTGTTTTTTGTTTTTCAACGAAGAACAATAGTTTTTTTTTCTTTCCAATTTGGATCATTTCATAATTAATTTTTTTTGTTTTGATTGCTAAAAACAGGTATTTTTTCATTTTGATTGAGAAATTTTCCAGAAAGTAATCAATTTTTTTTTTCTTTCAAAAAAAACTTTTTTTTTAGGTGATGATGAATCCACTTTATTGAACAACACAACCCAATAATCAAAGAAAAAATTATCCCATATTTATCATCATTTCAATCATCACCAACAACAACAACAAGCAACAAGCATCATCATCATGTCAATCATTTTCTCAAAGATAATAATGATGATAAAAGAAAGAAAATCTATTATTACAATGATGATGATCATCATCAATAAGTAATCATTTCGTTTTTCAGGTATGTTTTTTTTCTTTCATTGATCAATAATAAATACACACCGTTATCAAAACCAAAATCAAACCTTTAGAGATAGCTACATTGGCATAATAATTGCACCTTGTTTTTTTCTCCTTCCTAACCACCATTCTTTCATCCATTCATGTTTTTCAGATATGATATTTATCAATCAATCAAACTTATCATCATGATCATCTGGTAAATTGAAATTTCTTTCGTTTTTTTTTCTGGAAAAAACTTTTACTTTTTTCATAATTGATATCAAAAAGAATTTTCTTTGTAAAAAAACCGGATAAATTGATAATCAAAGTGATGGTCGATATTTTATTCGATATAATCGATTATTCGAATGGACATCCAAATGACCAAAAATCTAAAACAACAAACAAATCAACAGGTATAATTCGTCACGTTTTTTCACTCAGGATTTTCACTGTTTAATTTTTTTTTCAAAAATCTTTCGCGATAATTTGATCCAAATGTAATCAAAGAAAAAAAATTTAATGATTAGTTGGCTCAACCACACACAAATCAATATCAATATCTTAAAAAAAAGTTAATCATCATCATCAATGAGAAATTTTTGTTGTGCAAAAACTATTTCGACGACCATAGGTAATAATATTTGATTTTGATTGCTTTAAGTGTTATGCCGAAAGCAATAACAACAATTAAAGAACACACACATAGATGATAATATAAATAACAATTGATCGATCAATCAATTGATTGATTAATCAAATATTTCTAAATTTTGGCTTTGTGTGGTTGTGTTCTGCAAAAAAAAATGTTTTCAACAAATATTCTTTACAATAAATTATTATTAATTTTATCTTGTTATCTAATTATAGTTTCAGGTGATGATGATTTTCATTGGTCAGATTGTGGTGGTCAAACCGTACGGTTTAATCGATTAGATTTTCAACCAAAACCATTAATATTATCCAAAACGAAAGAAATATTTGTTACTGGTGATTTTTCCATCATCGAAGATTTACCGACCAATGTTGAATTGATTATTGTTCTGAATAAAACATTACATTATCAAGATGAAGATTCTTATAATATAACTATACCTTGTTTAGATGGAACATTTGGTTCATGTACAATTAAATTATGTGATATATTTGATACATGGTTGAATGATATAATATGTCCATTTTTGAAGAAAAATAATCGTCCATGTAGTTGTCCAATAAAAGCTGGTAATTTTAGTTTGGAAAATAGCCGAATAACAGTACCATTTGAAAGATTTAAAGGTTTTTTAGCACAAATGGCATCGGTAAGTTTTTGGTTTTTTGTTTCTTTGAATTAAATTAATCGATGAATTTTTGAAACAGGGAGATTATAATGCCAAAATTATGATCAATAATTTAGATCATTTTGGACCGGGTGAAAATTTACTTGCTTGTTTATTATTGCATGCAAGATTGGCTGAAAATTAATTCGAAACGAAAAACTTGGAAACAAAATGGAAAAAACTTTCAATTTCATCAATTTTCATTCTTTTTGTTTTTTTTGGCAATTTAATAAACGTAATTTATGCGTAATTTATAATCATCATCATCATTTCCAAGATGATCACGACTTTTCTTCTCCTCTCTATTTAATCAAAAAAGAAAAAGAAATAAAAAAGAAATAATGTTAATTCCAATCAATCGATACCGGTTTTTTTCGGTTGTTGTTGTTCCTACCTTTGAAAAATATATTTAATATGATTCTAAATTTGGATTTTTTTTTGTTTTTGTTTTTATTATTGCTCAATTTCGGATATGGTTCGGTTGTTTTTAACCGTAAAAAAATGACCGATTCTCAATTTAATCAATCATTATTAGTTGATAAATTTTTTTTTACTTTAATAGGTAATTTTGATTGATGAAATTGTCCAAGAAAACTTGAATCGAAAAAGAAACAATAACTTTATCGGATTTTATCAAATGATAAGCAACAACCGCAAAACATTCGAAAAAAATTTAACATCATAATAATAATAATCGATAGAATCGATTATTATGATCATCACTTTTTGAAGAAATTTTTTATCTGGTTTTTTTTAAATTTCATTGTTTTTTGTGGTAAAAAATAAAATAAATAAACAAACAAGCAGAAAAAATCAATGTATTTTTAGAAAACATTAAACAAAAAATGTTTATTTTTTTCTACCGAAAAACAAAACAAAAAAACATTTGTGAATTGGCCATCATCATCAACTTCGAACATCTTTTTTATAATCCTTTTTTTTCGTTTTCGATGTTTTTTTTTCTTTTTCTCTGGAATCACACATCATTATCATCATAATAATGATAATATTTATTTATTTATTTTAAAAACAAAACAAAAAAACATCTTAACACTTTGTTTCGAAAAAAACAACAAATTTTGTTTTTGTTTTTGTTTTCGTTTCGATGGATATGGATGGTGTAGGACGACTCAAACATTTTTTTAACCATCACCAATAATCGAATCATATATGATGAAAAAAAATTGTTTGGGGTTAATACGTTGCCGAAAAAATATCAAGTTTTTCATTATTGAACTTTCAGTGTATAAAACGATCGATTTGTTTTGTTTTGTCGAAAGTATTTCTGGTTTCATCACTTTGTGAGTATTTCCTTTATTTTGATGTTTTTCGTTTTTGAAAAGTATTTCTATTTTCTAAAACAAAAATGTTTTCGTCTAGTTTATTATCGATGGATATCAATGATTATGATAATCGATCACTAAATATTCCAACAAATATGTCAATGGTAATATTCCATTTTTATCCATTTTATTTCATTCATTTATTTTTATTAATCCTTTAGATACGAACAACATCCAATATCGAATCGAATAGAACTGGTGATAATGATCATCATAATTATCAAATGATGATATTATCCAGATTAGATCAAATGGACAAACGTTTTAATCAAATGGACAAACGTTTTAATCAAATGGACAAACGTTTTGATCGAATTGAAACAAAAGTTGATGATTTTACAAAAAAATTGGATAAAATCATCGAACATCATCATTCATCGAATTTTAATGAAAACGAAAAAAATCAATCAATCAATAATGATGATGATTTGGAACAATCAATGAATTCATCATCGAATGTTATTTCATTTTCCGATGAAGAAGAACTAGAACAAGAAGTTGAAGAATGCAATTCCATCTTGTTAACAAGCGACGATGATTCATCAATCGTTTCGGAAAATTTTTCTGTAGATAATAATGATAGTGGTCATTCGGAATTCATATTGGACAACAACAACGATTCATCATTATCAAATCATGATTCAAAATCAATGAAAATTAATCAAAAAAAGAAGACGATTACTAATGATAATGATGATGCTATCGAAAAACTTGCTTGTTCTAAATGCTCATTTGAATTCGATACACCACTACAATTGTTACGTCATCACCGAACACATCGACCAAATCGAAAACATATTTGTCATATTTGTGGTAATCGTTTTCAATTTAAATCTTATCTTGATCAACATCTTTTTGTTCATTCAGGTGATAAACCATATGAATGTAAACAATGTCATTATGCAACTGCACGACAATTCGATTTAAAAAAACATCGTCGTGTACATTCATCTGATCGACCACACAAATGCAATCAATGTGGATATCGATATTATTCACAAAAAGAATTCAAAATTCATATTAAGCGTTGGCATACTGCTAATGATAAACAAAAAAAAACATCAATGTAATATTTGTTCAAAAGCATTTACATTGAAATACAATCTTCAACGCCATAAACTTATTCATACAGATGAAAGACCATTCGGTTGTCAATATTGTCATCAAAGATTTCGTCGTAAAGATTCACTTCAAAATCATATTAAAAGTAAACATTCATAGTGATCAATCGATTCGATTGATTTTTTGTAATCAAAATTCAAAGACAAAAAAAATTGAAAATATGACGTGACTTAAACTACTAAACNAAAAAATTAAATAATCATATTCGCCTAATGCATACTACTAATGATGATGATAATAATGGACAAAACAAACATCAATGTAATATTTGTTCCAAAACATTTGCAAAGAATTTCAGTCTTGAACGCCATAAACTTATTCATACAGATAAAAGACCATTCGGTTGTCAATATTGTCATCGCAGATTTCGTCTTAAACATCATCTTCAAAATCATATTAAAAGTAAACATTCATAGTGATCAATCAATTCGATTGATTTTTTGTAATCAAAATTCAAAGACAAAAAAAAATTGAAAATACTTTCTCAAGCTACTAAACATTGACGATAGTTGGCAATAGTGTTTCCAAAAAAAAAAAAAAAATAATAATAATAATAATAATAACCCCTGCCAGATTTAAAAACAATGATTGTAAAAAAACAAATGCCACGAAAAAATGAAATTTTAAAACGAAAATTTATGTATCATGAAATGTAAAAAATGTATCAAAATATCTTTTCTTTTTAATTAAATAAATAAAATTCATTAATTTCATAATTTTATAATGATTTTTGATATATCGAAATTGGCTGCTGAGGTCATTTAGATTTGTCATTTTATTAATGAAAATTCACGATGACGATGAAATCGATAATTGAAAAAAAATTGTTTTGGGTTAATACGTTGCCGAAAAAATATCAAGTTTTTCATTATTTAACTTTCAGTGTATAAAACGATCGATTTGTTTTGTTTTGTTGAAAGTATTTCTGGTTTCATCACTTTGAGTATTTCCTTTATTTTGTTGTTTTTCGTTTTTGAAAAGTATTTCTATTTTCTAAAACAAGAATGTTTTCGTCTAGTTTATTATCGATGGATACCGATGATTATGATAATCGATCACTAAATGATGATGATGATAATTTAAAGTTAATCGAATTGGATGAAATTGAAAATCATTTAATCAAATTTATTCAATCATTGCGAACGGATAAATATGATGCAATCATCGCCAAATATTCCAATTCAAACAACAACAACAGCGAAAATTCTCTATCATTTCCAACAAATATTTCAATGGTAATATTTTATTTTTATTTCATTCATTAATTATCTTTATTATTCCATTAGATACGAACCACACCAAATATCGAATTGGATAAAATTATTAATGATAACGATCATCATAATTATCAAATGATATTATCCAGATTAGATCAAATGGAAACAAAAGTTGATGATTTTACAAAAAAATTGGATAAAATCATCGAACATTATCATAATCATCATCATTCATCGAATTTTAATGAAAACGAAAAAAATCGATCAATCAATAATGATGATGATTTGGAACAATCAATGAATTCATCGAAATTCCTAAATTCATTGTCCGAAGAACAAGAAGATGAAGTAGAAGAATCCAATTCCATCTTGTTAACAATCGAAGATGATTCATCAATCATTTCGGAATATTTTTCACTAGATGATAATGATAATGATCATTCGGACAACAACAACAGTGAAACAAATGAAAATTTTGATACTTTTCGACCACTTTTGACAAGAATTTCAACAAATAAAAAATCGAATGATAATCCATCGAATTATTATTTAAAATCAATGAAAATTAATCAAAAAAAGAAAATTAATATTAATGATAATGTTGATGATAATGATAATATCGAAAAACTTTCTTGTTCCAAATGTTCATTCAAATTTGATTCATCAAATGAATTATTACGTCATCACCGAACACATCAACCAAATCGTAAACATATTTGTTATATTTGTGGTTATCGTTTTAAAAGAAAATCTCATCTTGATCGACATCGACGTATACATTCAGGTGATAAAGGATACAAGTGTGATCAATGTCGATATTCAACTGTAGACCAATCAGATTTAAAAAAACATATCCGTGTACATACAGGTGATAAACCGTACAAATGTGATAAATGTCAGTATGCAACTTCAAACAAATCTAATTTACAAAAACATATTGGTCGTTTCCATTCTTCTGATATGCAATACAAATGTAATAAATGTGAATATAGATTTGATTCAGAGAAAAAATTAAATAATCATATTCGCCTTATGCATACCACTAATGATGATAATAATGATGGAAAGAGAAAACATCAATGTAATATTTGTTCCAAAACATTTGTATGTAAATCAAAACTTGAACGCCATAAACTTATTCATACAGATGAAAAGCAATTCTGTTGTCAATATTGTCATCGCAGATTTCGTCGTAAAGATCATCTTCAAAATCATATGAAAAGTTCGATTCATAATGATCGATTCAATTGATTTTTTTCAAATCAAGATTCAAAAACAAAACAAAAATTGAAAATATTTTCTTAAACTACTAAACTTTGACGATAGATGGCGTTAGTGTTTCTTAAAAAAAAAATTGAATATTGAAATAAAAACAAAACGCGCGAAAATTTATCTTGAACATTTGTATCTTTGAAAAACTTTTTTTTTTAAATCTTGTATCAATAAAATTCATTCATTTCAAAATAATTTTGTATTAATTTCATTATATTGATTTTTTTTGTTGATATTCCTTGGCCATTGGACAAAAAAAATTTGAATGTTTTCGGTTTTTAAGTGAATGTTTTTTTTGTTTGTTGAAAAATTCGTGTGAATTTGTTTATTTAATTCGACCTTCGAATTGTTTTTGTTTTTTTGATATCGTCAACTTGCTAGAATTCTTGTTCTGGTTGTAATTTGATCTTACCGTTTGAACGTCACATCTGTTTTTGTTTGTTATATGTTTATTTTATTAGATATTGATTTTTGATATAGAAATGGCCTGCAGGCTACTGTTATTTTGATTTATTATTTTAATGTTTGAAATTTTTGTTTTTCTCGGTAAATTCTGTTTATTTTTTGCTACTTGTTATCTTTATCATAAACAAATCTTTTTTGCATGTAGGCAGGATGTTGTTGTGTTAACGTTTCTTTTCTTTATCACTTTCATTTAGACCTTGTTGACCACATTTTATTGTAAATAAACCAAAATATTTTGATAATAATAAGACATGCATAAAACTCTTTCGTTTTGATAACGTTATATTTTTCATGTCATTTCAATAAAAATTCTTGATCATGCGCACAAATCATTTGGTAACGCGCGCGTAAACTAAGCCATATATGGCCTAAACACACTGGTCGATTTTGCATGTTCGACTTGTGTATAAATATCAGGTCATATCATCATTGTTCATGTCGTTCATATCTGTCATTGTTTGATCGTGATAACTTGTTATTGTGATTTCTTTCGATTTTTTTCACTATTTTTTTTCTCTGTTTTATCTATTTACGTCATTTGTCATCGAAAAAAATGTATCCATCAAATTCATCATCAACTAATATCGATGATGATAATCAATCAAATGAAGAATTGAATTCGATGTTAGCACAATGTGATGAAATCGATAATCAATTAATCAAAATGATTGAATCATTATCATCAAATTTGGATAAATTCAATAAATTCGATCAAATGGTGGAACAATTGAATCAAGCTGAAACAAAACTTTTAAATTTTTCACAAAAATTGGATAAATTATTTAGCCATCATAATTTATCATTGGATTTAATTGACATTGAACAAAATCAAATCGATAATGATGATGATGATTCAGAACAACAAAACAATTTGCTATTGGATATTGATTTTTTGTCCGATGAAGATGAAAAAGATGTAGATTCCGATTCTACTTTTGTTTCAAATGATAATGATGATTCAACAATTTCG